GTGCCACAAAGACCAATTTCAACCACTCTTTTCTTTCATATTTAACCTCCCTCATTAACTTTCTGTATTTACCTTTCTGCAGGGCGTTTGCCTCTCTTTTTTGCTTGTCAAACTTATCCTCATCTCTCGAGCTTTCTTTAATCTTTTCCCACATTAAAGATATCACATCCTGTCCCTCTTGAGCATTATTTTCTATTTTTTGTAATTTTTGCACGAGAGCTTTTTTTTTTAGCTTTTTATTATATTCCAACATCGCTAGTGCTTGTCCCACAACGTCAACTTGCTCCTTTACCGGTTTAAAACTTTCCTGCTCGCACTTTTGTAACATGACACGCTGCGCCTCTGTGTCCATTCTCACAGGAAATTTTGACACACACCACACTTCTTTGTTTTATTGTCACTGGAAAATTCTGGAACTTTTTTAGACTCTGGAACTTTTTTTTTTTTTTTACACATTCATACTGTGGTCTTATATTTGACAAAGACACAAAAAACAAAATAAACAAACAAGATACTGACCACTTATTTCAACATTCACGCGAGTCACAGACGCCAGAAATATCACAATGGTCACCCTTAAAACTGTTGTTGTTGTTTTTTTTAAAACAAAATGTGTTGACTTCCCTTTTAATATCTTAGAAGACAGCAATTAGTTGTGAACCTGTGACTTCTTTTACTCACCACAGATCATAAGTTATTTTATTCAACAAATCTAATTATTAGTGCTGATTTTATTTTAATCTATTCGGTGCGTGCGTCGTATTTAATTAATTACTATTCCACCCAGTCCCGCACTTACTTAATGAACTTCCAATTTTTAAGTAAGTTTAAATTAACACTGTTTTCAATTAGCCACCAACCTAACAAGTTTACAGTTCAACTTAGTCTCAGAGTTACAGGGATGACGGCGAATAAATGATTTATCCTACAACCCCACCCCCTCTGGTCCAGAGCCCCGTCGGACTCTGGTTGGCTCGACTATTGCGTGATTTATCTGGGACTGGTTTTATTAAGTTATCTTACTTTTATCTTATTCTTACAGTCGACGTAAACTTCTCTATTTAAAACTATTTATTTGGGAGTCACACACACTAAGCAAATTTGCCTATAGTAAGCCCAATTTACAGATTTCGTAATCAACAGGCTCTGCTTACCTTTTCTTTATGGCGCGCCGTAGATCAGTGTGAAGGACTCGGTAACTGTTTTTCAAATCTCGGTGGGACCTCCATTTTGTTGTGTTTTTTCTTTTATTTCTCCACCCGAGCTCTGCTGTCACCGGTCATCCTGCAGGAGGAGTCAAGACACGCACTCAGAATACAGCAAACGCACCTTCAAGTTTACGAATATTTATTAAGCAAAGAAAGTCAGAAAGTCACAGATTCACAAGCATAAACAGTGGATTAGTTAATTGCAGTCATTATTTTAACATATAATTAATTGGATGCGCATCCATTAATCTATACGATACAACCTTGTTAAGGAGGAATCTGAAGTCGACCGTCTCTGCTCCATTCTGGCTGACTGCTTCGAGGAGAAACCGCACTTTCCTTTGTTTAAAAACAGGGCGTTCCTTCACACAGCAAAACTAACTTTTCACCGCGTTCTAAGCCTGCTGTCATGGGATTGGCCAGTTTCAAACCAATCAGAAATGTGAGATATCGTGTTACATGATGTAAACCGGAACAGAAATCAATCTGTGGGAGCCTCTTCAAAGTAAAACAGGAAGTGGGTCAATTTCAAAGTAAAACAAGAAGTGGGAGACAGATTCAACAAGGAACACAATCTTATTTCACAACAGAAGCTGAAATTGTGAGTTTCAAGTCTAGAAAAAGTTAAGGCGCGGCAGACGATCGATTGTGTTTGGTTTTTATGAGACCGCTCCATGTGAAAATAGCTGTGTTCTGTGAGTGGAGTGGGGTTGCCAGGTCTCAAGATAAGATAATTCTTACTCCTGAAGTGCAACGGTCGTATTTTGTCACCTGACAACAAAGAGTGTGTTTGTGTGTATTTGTGTGTTTGTGTGTGTGTGTGTGGTGGGGGGGGGGTTCAAAGACAAGGTGTGAGGATTGTGCAGTAAGTGAAAAAATGTGTGTGGAAAGATAACGCTGAATGAGTGAGTAAAATATCTAGTTGTGGGGAATATTTGTTATAATGTAGTTTTTGTTGACAGTACAACAGAAAATAACAAATGAGACTAATTGAACATGTTGTGGAATTTGTGACCTAGTTTAGTTTAGTTTATTATTTTTTTTAATATGTAAGGGGAAGGGAAATGTGTGTATGTATGTGTATGCATGTATATATATATATATATATATATATATATATATATGTATGTATGTATGTATACATATATATATATATATATATATATATATAGCATGAAACAACATGTCAGACTTTTTGTTTTACATATTCAAGGGAGTGAGTAGAAGTATAAACTTATCAAAATTCCCACTCCTTAACCACTTACATAATCTTACATTCATTACATGTATAATACATACATACAGTATAACAACTAAACCCACATTTATCCATCAATATAGTATCTATTTAATCCAAAAAAGTTCAATCTGGTCCTCTGGACATTCAAAAAAACAAAAGCAAAACAAAGCAAAAAAAATTCTAGAAACGTTTCGTCTCTCATCCAAGAGACTTCCTCAGTCTGAGGTGCTGTTTTCCATGTCCAGAGGACCAGATTGAACTTTTTTGGATTTTTCTACCTGGATTATTGAGCATGCATCAAGATAGTATCTATTTAAGTTAACTATAGTAGATGTACAATTATTATTCCTTTAACTTCACCAATAACAAAAGCATCAATAACAAAAACAACAAAAACAACAACAACAACAACAACAATAATAATAATAATAAATTAATAATATTATTATACATTATATCCAGCAATAATCATATGTTTATATGATAATTTGAACAGTTTCATGTTTGGACATTGTTTAAGTTCAATATTCAAATTATTCTACAGTTTGACTCCACTTACTGATACACAAAAGTTTTTTCTAGTAGTTCTGAATTAGCATATTTTAAACTGTGATTCCCCCCATAACATATAAATTTGCTCCTTAATTTTAAACAGGTTTTGAATGTTTTCTGGTAATTGTTTATTTTTTGCTTTGTAAAGAATTAGAGCTGTCTGTAGTTTCAATATGTCAATGAACTTTAATAATTTAGATTTTACAAATAGTGTATTAGTGCTTTCTAAATATCCCACCTTATGGATTATTCTTATTGCTCTTTTTTTTGTAGTATTGTTAATGCCTGTAGTGTAGTTTTATAATTATTGCCCCAGATTTCTGCACAATAGCTAAAATAAGGTAAGATTAGTGAACAGTAGAGTACATGTAATGGTTTTTGTTCTATGACCAACTTGGCTTTGTTTAAGAGGGCGATATTTCTTGGGACTTTACTTTGAACATATTTTATGTGTGGTTTCCAGTTGAGTTTATCATCAATAATGACACCAAGAAATTTGTTTTCATGAACTCTTTCAATTTTCACTCCATCTATTTGTATTTGAATTTCTGTATGTGATTGACAGTTCCCAAATAACATTGGCCATGACCTAGAAAAGATGGTGGGTATCAGATTTGAGTTAATGGAGGTTTTAAAATTGGCCTTTAGCTTGAAAAAAAAGAGAAAATAAATAAATAAATAAATAAATAATAAATAAATAAAAATACAAAGGAAGAAGAAAAGGAAAGTAGCAGTGTTTTTGTGGGCAGGCTCCGCACCCTTGGTGTTGCAGGGGTGTTGAACTTGTTTAGGCCACATCAGAATAAATGGTTGCCCTCAAAGGACCAGATATAAATGTAAGGCTGCTATCATACACTACGAGTAGTTGTATAAATGTAGATAAATTTAACTATATGTAATATAAAATAGAATACAACTACTCCTTAAAGTTAAAAAACGCTGATTTTATTTATTTAACTTACAAATATCACATATATTCTTATATATTTGCATAGATGTAGGAAATATGTCTGCTTGTTGCTTTGCTATAACATAAAAACTTGTCAGGTTATGAAACCCACACTACTCCATGAATTAAGTATCAAACTTGTCAAATGAATAAGGAGAATAACAAGTTATAACATTAACTTTGTTCAAAACTTTGACATAGTGAGGAGGTGGAGAACAAGGAGGATAGCAGGAGGGACACTGAAATATGTACCTTTTCCCTTGGGAGATAGAGACGCGTTGGTTGATAAGCTTCCTAGTATCTCAGCAAGAGGAAGCTTATGGTTATCTGAGCTGGATGGACTCACGAGAGGAATGACTTTGGCACTAGGAGATTTTAGGGCAATTTTAGGACGTTGTGTCACCCCTATGGTGGGACATGAGTTGGAACGAGCCGCCCGCACTGCCACTCAGCCAAACCACACTCCTTTAGCAGTGGTAATTACACAATTAGCCAGACAAATTAAGCGACAGTTCCCTTTGTCTACTCCGGCAGCAATACCAAAATTTGAATGGGACCCTAAGGTCCACCCGAAAAATTACATCACTCAAGCAGTAGAGATTTGGATGAGGCACACAACAGTTAATCCAAAAGGTGAACCGTCTAATCTGACTGAATTGTTCAGAGAAGCAGTTTTGAAGGGAGTACCTGATGAAGTGTCAGAGCTGATGGTGAAAAATCCTGATCTCCCAGGGTGCGAGCATGCTAAGTGGGAAAAACATTTACTACATCATTTGCAGGTGGCACAGGACAAGTTAAAAAAGAAAAAAGATGAAAGAGCTGACCTAGAAAATCAGCTCCTCAAATTACAGCTTCAGGAAGCACAGCAGAAGGTATCAAAGAACAAGGATAAATCTGAGAAAATGATGTTAGCTGCGGGAACAGGGAATGTTTCACAACTTACACACAACAATGTCGCACCTGTGACTAATCAGTATCCTGGAGGAGGAGTTGTCTCCTCTCCATATCCCAATCCCTCTTTTCCCTTCCCGTCTTTTCCATTTGTGTGCAGGTCTGGTGGGACTGGACGTGGAGGAGGTTGGCGTGCTGGTGGTCGTGCACGGGGAGGCATGGCGCGTGGACGAGGGGGCTGGGGTGCACCCGGGAAAAGGAACCTGCAAGATGAAATCTGCTACAACTGTGGGGGACCTGGCCATTGGGCCAGACAGTGCAGAGCCCCACCCATGCAGTGGAGTAAAGGCGGAGGGTCACAAGGTATGATTCCACACAATCCTGCTAACATACCGCCTCCTGCCGGTGGCCAGTACCTGCAGTGGGAAGAAGACGTGTACCAACGATATTGACACACCCCTGAGACCTGGTCAGGTAACATGACATCTGCAGACCCCATGTTATCTTCCAGAGTGGGAGGTCAACCTATGAACTTTCTAGTGGACACAGGAGCCACATATTCGACTATAAACAGCACCCTCATCAACAGTTTAACATCAAAAACTGTGTCTTTGACAGGGTTCTCAGGGAAAGAGCAGAGTCTGCACTTAACAAAACCGTTGACTTTTAACCTAGGGGCCCAGACGTTGCAACATTCTTTTGTCTGCTCCTCATCTACTCCTGTGAACTTACTGGGAAGAGACTTGCTGATCAAGCTGGGAGCTACCATACTGTGTGGTGCAGATGGGCTGACAGTTTCGCTACCAGATGGCTCCATCATGCATTGCAGAGACTCAATCACAGATGGACAATATTTGTTACACCCTGTCACTCCAGAGTACGCAGACATCTATTGGGGCCGGTTGACACATGAACAGTCGAGCTGTCTCCTGAAAACATTCCAGACCTGGAAGCCCTGGCTCATCAGTCTGCGTGCCTACGTTTCTCCTGCTGACCCACCTCACGTCACCCTCTTCTATGACTGGGAACACACAGACTGGTACCAAGAAGCCTTCTCATCTGACCTTGAGGGTAAGACTTGGCAAATTAAAATTGAAAATATTTTCGGCATCGGCAGCTGAATTAACCTTACCCGATTACAGCTGTCCTTTCTTCCTGGATGTCTCTGTAACAAAACACGCAATAAATGGGGTTTTGTTTCAGAGAAAAGGGGGAGAGAGGAAAGTATTACAGTACCTATCACTTATGATGAACAACATGGAAAAAAGACATCCTCCATGCACACAACATGCAGCCGGGATAGCGAAACGTATTAAAAAAACAGCACACATAGTCATGGGCCACGCCCTGCAAGTGCTGACAACACATAGCGTGGTTGCCTATGTGAACTCACAGTGTTTTACGATGACAGCTCTTAGACAACACAGACTATCAAAAATCTTAGAAGCCCCCAACATAACATTCTCACACGAGGGAATAAATATGGCAGATTGTGTTACAGAAGGTAAGCCTCACCGATGTGAAGAGCTGGTGGTCAAGCTGGAGAAAGTGAGGCCAGATTTAGAAGCATCCCCACTTTGGGGAATACAGGTAAGACACTTATTCACAGACGGGTGTTGTTACAGACATCCAACAGAAGGCCTGAAAGCAGGTTATGCAATAGTGGAAAAAACAGATACAGGCTATGAAGTGATAAAAGCAGAACAGCTGGAAGGTGCACCATCTGCACAGAGAGCAGAGGTCAGAGCAGTGGTAGAAGCACTGAAACTAGCAGAGAATCAGAAAGTAAATGTTTACACGGATTCCACCTATGCAGTAGGAGCAGTCCATGTGGAACTTTGTCAATGGATTAAAGCAGGTTTTTTGACAGCAGGAGGAAAAACCATTAAACACGAAGCAGACATGAAAGAGTTAGCAGAGGCTCTTCTGCTGCCCTTGAGAGTGGCAGTAATGAAATGCAAAGGACATGATAACAGTGACTCCTACACAGCTCAGGGAAATCAAGCAGCTGACAACGCAGCAAAAGCCGCAGTAGGATACTCTCCTTTGATGATGACAGTCGCAACAGAGGAAGAGATAAAATACAAACTTACACTTGAACAGGTTACTGAACTTCAAAAGTGGGCGGCACCAGAAGAAAAAGAACATGTGGAGACCAAGGAGGGCGACTGAGAAGGAACAGTGATTGATGTACAGACTTGCTTGCTAGATCATTTGTGTATAAATAGGAGATTTTAAGTTACAACGCTCTTAATAACCAAAGTATTTATCTTTCTTCCTTTGAATGTGTACATGACGGATCTCTTAGGGGGACACCCCTAGACCCAGAAGAACAATGAAAATGTAGTGGATCTGTGTTCTTAAATACATTTGATTTGACAATGACTAAGACTGGACTGGACTGATAAATTAATTAGGTTCCCGTGAATAGAGTGTTTTTAACCACATTTTCACAATAGTCATGTATTGTGAAACTTTTGTTTTTGTTTTACCTAAACAGATCTCCAGAGGAGCTATGGCAGAGCTGAATAACTGATTTTGACTTCCTTTTATTTTTCCAGCTCCATTTATCAGCAAACCCAATGTTTAATTCTGTATTGTGCTGTTTTGAGGACAGGGTGATTAATGAAAATATATTTTCTGCGCATGCGTTTACTAAATTCTTTCCCACAGGCAGGAGGAAATAAGACAAATAAAATCCATCATCTTAACTAAAATTAACATCACCCATGCCAAATATTCACCACTAGACTTTGAAACCTTAACTCTTCTGATTACTCATCTTCACTGCATGTGGTAATCACATATTGCTGTGTTTTCTTGTGAAAAATAACTTTGCTTCTTTCAGGAAGAACCAGAGTAAAGGACTCTGGAGAAATCCATCATATCCTTTTTGAGGTTCAGGTTTGTAAACATAAAAAAAAGAGGATGAAAGTATGAATGGAATGTGGTTTATGTTGTTCTATAAAACCATTATAGTGTAGAAGTAATAATGAAATATTTTATATTGACAAACCCCTTTTTAGTGGTAGAGATAGAAAATACAGTCACATGCCTTAGAGGGCTGAAATTGTGCTATGTTTGGAGATATGTGTTGTACTTTCATCCCCAACAATACAGGTTCTGACGGGTCAGTGACCAGGGCACTGGAGGGATTGAGGACGCTGAGTATACTGGTCGTATGTGGTTGCTGCTGTGTGCCTTGTGCGAGATCACTCGTGGTGCGCTATATCACCTCGACCATCGAGAAAGGGAGCGGGGATAGACCTTCTGGATATCAGATGTTGTCAACCAGCGATCCTTCAAGCCACACGAAATTCGAAGCTCTCCCTGGTGGCATAACCCGAGAACTGCTGACACTGGCTTTATAACCTGTCTCCTAACATGTGTTTTACACCATTTTTCTTTGCTTTAAGTTGATTCTTATACATATTATAATTACATGTGTTACTTTGCTTCCCCTGCTCCCAAATTACTGTTGAGTATTGGTTTGGATATATTTTATCATACTGCTAGCAATAGGAAACTTAGATAAATGCATGTGGCCACATCTTAACTTTTACTGAAACTCTCTCTCTCTCTTTCAGTCTGTGACAACGCGACGGACGATGCCTCTATGAGATGGACCTTAATTGTCCAACCAATTCGTAGTCATTGTTCAGGCCAACAAGTTGTGGTCCTTTTAAAATACAGGCATCCACTGTGCGCTTTGTAACCAACTGACAGTGAAAAACGCAATACAATGTCTAAAAATGTAATTCTCTAAGTTGTACTATATTTATCTTATTAATGGCTCATTTGATTGCTATTGTTATATCATTTAAACAGCAATTTTGTTAAACTTATGACACAGGGTAAGGATGATTGTAAGAGTGCACTGGAACGCCATCTTGGTCGTCGTCACAAGGGGCGTGAGACGTTGTGCTGTTTTTACCCCGCACCACTACACCGTTGCTCTGGGGATTTTTCCGGCACAAGTTCTGGACTTTCGTCAGGGACAGATGTTTGTAGCCAAAGAGGTGGTCCCCTTGGAGGGACCAAAAGGGGGATATGTTGTATAATGTCATCTTTTTTGCTATGCTCTGACATGAAATATTTCTCTGTGTATGGTAAAAAAAACTGCAAAATCATGATGTACGTCATATAAGTTCATGATCTGCGTAACTCCTTGTACAAAGAGGACCAGACTACTGTTATCTTGCCAGAACAGATCACATTCAGCTGGGGCAGTGGGCGAAAAAACAAGACCATGCCAGACCACACCCAGGAACATCAGCTGCCCCAGAGAATAACATCATGATAAGGAAATCCCAATGTAACTGATAAGGCTGTATTTAAACGAAGCAAATACATTTGTATCTCAGACATGTAAAATGGATGTAAGGTGCATGTGAGACGTCTCCCTTCTGGCACTGTGAAGGTAAAATAAATCTTTGTCTGAATTCAGAACCACTTCTCAGGCTGTGTTTTTGACTCTGTCTTCCTTCCACTGAACGATCTCAGGTTGAGGCAGTTTTGAGCTAAGTGTTTGAAAGTTGGTTCTCATGGATTGAAAGACCTCAACACTTCCCACCCTATCATTTCTAATTGATATATATCCAGGTATTATGAAATCCAATTGGGGCTTAAACCAGGTTTCTTGAATGCATATCAGTTGAGGCTTAACTATCAAATCCGAAATTTATTTTTTAAACTCTAAACCATTACTTATTAGACTTCTTGCATTCCA